ACGACAGCGCCGTGGATCCGGGACCCGCTGATGCAGCTTCCGCCGCGGCCCCAGGCACTGCGGAAGCCAATTCTGCGTTGTTTGGGGGCCACACCGCTCCTTGGGTGGAGCCAGACGACCCGCTTGCGCGCCTTGCTGTCCACGGGCAGGCTGACGGCGACGATGCGGCGCGGGCAGCGGAGCGCTGGGTCACCTGGCTGCAGGCCTTGCGGAGCGCTGGACTAGGTGCCCAGGAATGCTTCAGGCTGCTCCAGACCTACAGCAACGATTGCGTCACGCATCTGATCCGCGCCAGCTACGAGGACGGAGGACGAGGACTGGCTGACCAGGCTCGGTGCGACCCGCGCGCAGAGTGTGGAGGCCTTCCTGAGCGATGTCCTGGGCTGGCTTCAGCAGCGCAGACGGCGGCCGCCGCCTACCCGGGGATCTGGGCACTTACCCTTTACACCGTGAGCACCTGTCTGGGCGAGCCTTCCTGGAAGCGGTCCGAGTATCGTTGCCCATCTGCGACAGAGGCCACGGTCAGGATCGAGGACCGACTCCGGGTTCTTCGAAGCCATAAACTGGAACGGCTGCGTGGGCGAATCACAATCGCAGCAGGAACCGCGAGCGGTTGTTTGCGTCCCTGGGAGCAAACGACAGATGGGATGTCCGCTCTTGCGGTGGCCCCGGAGCGGCGGGCTTCTTGGAACCGCGCAGTGGTTGGGAGGGCGAGACGCCCGTTAAATTGCAGTCATTTCCCGCAGCCAAGGCCGACGGGACCCTGCGCGGGGAGGCCCGACGCGGCAGTGCCCGTCTGGCCCTTGCTGCAATAACAAGCAAATCGGCCCGCGGGGCTTCTGCGCTAGCTACCACCAATGGTTCACTTGATTCGAGCATGAAGGAACAATCTCGGGACAGAGTGAGCCCGCAGACTGGCTGAGCGCCTCGAAGAGACCCAGCTCGACGTTGCCACCCGCGACGGGGTGACTGGTCAGACGGTCTTCATGGATGCGAGCTTGACTTGCGCACGCAGCGGCAACGCGCCGCGCCAACAGGCACGCTCGAGCAAGGACGGGCTCGCCGCTACCAGCGGGGAAGACGCCAAGCTGGTCCGGTACCTGCCGGAAGGAAGGTAGCTCATCCCATTCGTTTTCGAAACGGGCGGGCGCCCAGGAGACGCTGCCGCGGCGCGCGCCTGCTCCTGGAGCCATGACGTGGCCCCCGCGGAGCGAACTGAGGTCATCCGCTGCGGATGGCTGCAGCTGAGCACGCGGCTGCATCTCGGAAGCGCCGAGGCTCCGAGCACAGTGCACGACCACCACCACGAAACCAGGAAAGATCTACGATCCCATTTGGCGCAGTTTTGCATTGGTGGAGAGCACACAGCCCCACTCCCCTCGCCAACGGCAACCGGGCTGCCCCTCTCTCTCTCTCTCTTTCTTCCTTTCTCTTTCTTTCTTTCTCTCTCTCTCTCTCTCCCTTAAGCGCCGAAACAGAATTCATCAAAACACGCGCGGCGGTGGTGTGTATATTTTTGGTTACAAAGAGGAGCGATGTTTTTATACACCACCACCAAGAAGTGTTGTTTCTTCGTCGAGAACTCCCCCACCGCAGCGACCGCGCGCCGCGCCGCGCTCCGTTTCGCTGCGGGGTCGCAACGCCGTTTGGCATCACACTTCCAATGTGTGCGATGATTTGTTGTTGCGCGCGATGGTGGTGTATAAGATCTGGCCTCGCAGAGACAATCTTAGCGGCCGTGGGCGGCGACCGCTCCACAAGTGCGCTCGCGCCGCGCTGACGTTGCCACGAGCAGCACCACGGTGACAGCCCCGCCTGGGACCAGCGGCGCCGGACCGCGAGGGTGACACGCACCGCGCGTAGCAGCACCGGGGCAGCGGGCAGCACCAAGACCACCGCGAGCAACAGCAGAGGCGCAGGGGGGCAGCACCGGCGCAGCGGGCAGCACCACCACCGCCGGAGGCGCCGACGATGACCACGGCAAGTACGGCCAACGACGACGACCGCCTCCCGTCCCCGCCGTCCCCTTTCTGCCCTTTCCCTTCCTCGCTCTCTCGGGGCCGGCCGCCCCTGCCCACTAGTCGTGCCACGGGTTCCTTCTCTCTCCCTCTTCCTCCCTTTCCCCTCCCCGCCCCCTCTGCGCCCGGGGGCGCGAAGGTAATTGCGCCTCGCGACCCTCCCGGGGGAGGCGCGACCCTTCCGAGGGAGGCTTGGGTCAGGGGCATTTCGCCTGCAGACTCGTGGATGCTTTGCCGTTTCCCAGCTGGAGACTATCGGCCGCGATGCGCCTTACCCGACTGGACACGCACTTCAAAATTGAATACGTGCCGGGGCTACGAAAGAAGGGGGAGGCGGGGGAGGGAAGAGGAAAAGGAGGAGGAGGAGGAATAATAATAATACTACTGCTGATAATAATAATAGTAATAATAATAATGATAATAATAATAGTAAGAACAATCATATAATCATAATGATAATACGAATAGGAATAATAATCATAATGATAGTACTTGTGAGAATAGTAAGACAAATATTATTGTAGTGGCCTCCGGCCAGTGCCGCCGATCCGG